GCCATAGACAGATATTTTTTCTTCACTCAGCAGCAGTAACGCTTAAAGTGGAAAATTCTATCCTTCTTTTACAGATTAGCTGTGAAAGCAGGCCAGGCTCAGAAGCAGGTAACTTACCTGAAGAGAGAACCTGATTTTAAAGAGGGCATATTGGACAGCAAAAAGGGTGGGTCACTGCTTCATGTAAGGGAGAAAAAAATGGTCTGTTTGTATTTGTTGTTGGTTTTCTCAATTTCAAATATAAGTATTTGCATTCCTTACTTTAGAGTGCTTACTGTTGTCAGGGGTATCTCTGAAGGTCACATTTTCATGGTTGTGCTCTGTAAATGCCTTGATGTTTCACTTCACTTACTTCAGGACTGGACAAAAGCTTTAGTTCATAGATTAGAAGTGATTTCAACTTAGGGATATTTTCTTGGTATAGGTATTTCACTTGTATGACATGCAATTATATTAAAGGTAAACATGAAGCCGCTTAAACATTGTTATATTGTGTGGCTGGAAAACTGGCCTCAGTGTGGAAGTGTGTAAGCCATGGTGCTTGTGAATAGACAGGAAAATTTACGGTGTGCCACACAGAAATGATGATCTGCACATCAGAAGAAGCCTTTTCAGGTCAAATTAATTTAAATGAAATTTTGTTCCATTATCCCCTTTGAGAAAAATGTCAGGAATTATAGTAATTGACTCCTGTAGACAGGGCAGTAGAGTAGTTAATGAATTAAATGTAATGTTACTAATTTTGATTGATACTATTATAATTATGATGTCAAAGGTGTTTGAATTTGTATCAGGTTGTAAATCTTAATCAGACTTCTAGTTTACTCTTGATGAGAGGAAAAAATGCAACACAGAAAATGAGAACCCAGACACCCCCCAACCTAAACTGAATCTTCATTCAAAAATGAAGTGTAATGCAATTTCAAGGCTCTTTACTGCTGGTTTACAAGAATATACAAGCAGGTAAAAAAGGTTTTACTAGTTCAGCTTTCTTTCTTGTTAAGATGTATTTCTGAGAATTTCCTGAATGTCTTGGTATCTGAAAAGCAAAATGTAAATATTCTCTCTGAATTTTGCTGTCAGCAGCGCTCCATGCTCTTCTAGGGCTTTTTGTGTAATAGCTTTAGTCTGACTGGAAATCTTAGAGCCTGAGGTAAAAGGCAGCCTTCTTAACCTTGACCTCTTCTTGCTAAGGAGAAATAAAACTTCATTTTACCTAAAAGTGAGATTTATGGAAGGATATGAGAGATCACATTATTCTGTCAGTGACTCTTGAAGCATATGTTCTTTAGCTTGACAAACCGAGCATGAAAGGATATGCTTTATTAGGATGCAAATTCTATGTATGTGATTCATTTGTTGTGTAATGTTTTCATGGGGTTTGGTTTATTAGAATTATATGTGAATTAGTATGTAGAGAAGGCTGTATTAAGGTGTCAGATACTGTATTTTGCTATTCACCAGGCTGAAAGTCAAGATGGTTATAATTCAGAGTTTGGTGGAAGTCTATATACCTTCTTTTATAATTTCCCTAAAATAAGGGATTTAATTTCTTGCTACCTTTTTATATGCCTTTATTTTTTTGATACTTGTTTCTGCATCATCTTACTTTTTTTCTTGCTTCTGTGTTTTTCACCATTTTATACTCAATGTTTCAGACCCTTATTTCTGTTTTCTGGAGGTTCTGCTGTTCATGAGTTTTATAACTCCCTGTGATACTCCATTCTTATCTGCCTTTCTGATCCAGAAGAATTTGTGTCTCAGTCGGTTTCAGGAGCAGCTATCTTATATTTTTAAGACTACTTTTAAGAGCTTAGCTGTAACTTCTGAGTGTGCTGCTTTTGCTTGCCTTATAGGTTTGTGCAAGTGAGCTGGCTTGGTGCTTTTCAGATTCCTGTCCTACCTGTGTTTCTGTATGAATAATAGCCATTAGTGCTCAACAATCATATAGCTGAAAAGATGTGCAAAAATGAAGTTTGCTTTGTAGTAATGTTGCTTATCGGTTTCTGGCATTCAGTGTCCTCAGTGACAGCGTATGTTTGACTGGAGATGAAAGTTAAAGCTCTGTGAAAGCTTTGGTTGGAGGTGGCCTTTCAGGAGTACTGCTCTGTAGGCTGTTCTCTGTTGCATCAGTGTCCTGTGGGTACAGGAATTCAGTCAACTGCTAGACGCAGGGCTTTGAAAACACCCACCTCAGCACTCAAGGAAATGAGGTGCTGGAGTCCTATCCCATTTGAGGTAAGCTTTGCAAATAGGTTGTAGGCTTGTCCAGTGCCATAGGAGCAGCAGCCTGTTCTTTTCCTTGCAGTGCATCATTTCATGTTTCTTGAACTTCATTGGTGAAATTTGTCCTGGCTGTCTTCATTCCTCTGGTAGTAATTACAGTAATAATCAGCTAATGCACATATGTCAACAGCCTTTTGTTTTTATTGGGAAGGGAAAGACAGGCCTATTAAAAATATTTTTATAGGTTTGTGATGACACGAGAACATGTCATGTAGACTTAATTTGTTTAGAAAGTGTAACATGTATAGGTGGTGCCTTGCTAAAGAAAACCGAGAAGGATATTTTCCACTGATGCTCATGCCTTCTTTCCTTTGAAAATCTAGACTAGTTAGTAGGACATCCTTCCCTGCTTTTCTGGGAAGGTGAATGGACTGAAGGCTGTGTAGGCCAGGGGGGAAAGGAACTGTGAGAAACATCTGTACTTGTAGTTATTTATTTATTTATTTATTCAGCATTTCCAAATACTGTTAGATTCTGCTGAGAATAAATACAAGTTATTCTTAGTGTTTCTAGAGAGCATTCTTTCCCCCCTTCTTTTGGAAAGGCTTTGGCTACAATTTCAATACTTCCTGATGCTGTTAATTATATAAGGCTTTGGACTGCTAATGTGCAGGTGACTGGCTGTTCTGTGAGAACAGCTGTTGCAGGATGCAGTAGAAAAGTGGGGAAAGTGAAACATTCCTTGGGTAGGTGGCAGATTCTGAAGCCAGGGGAATGAATCTGCAAGGATTCCTCATTTTGTTTGTGCTGCATATTGACATCTGGAACCTAGCAAACAATCCTTTGAATTCTTTTCAAGGAACACATTTTAGCTCTTTCAAGGGTGAGGTAAGAAAATAGCCTTTTTCAGTAGAACGAAGTTCTTCCCTCCCTCTTTACGCCTACACCAATGTTTTTTCAGCTCTGCAAGTGTGTTTTTTCTCACCCTCTATGCTGTGTAGGCGGCCTTCCCAATCACAATTGAGCTTCACAGGCAATCTTTTACCAAAAAAAAAAGAGAAAAAAGTTGTCTTTACACAGCAGGTCTATAATTTAACACCAAAGAAAATGGAGAGTTCTGGGCTGGAATTATGATGCATCTTAGTAATGCTTGAATAGGTGAAGAATTTCACCCTAAAGGAAGCAAGGAAATCTTTTCTTGAGCAGAAGGCCACCACCTGAGGAAATGATTTATTTATCTGCTGCCCAAATGACTTGCCAAAATGTCAGTAGCAATTGCAAGCAGATTTTAAACCTTTTACTTGCCTCATTACACTGAGCGATAACTGAACTTTCCTGCCCCAAGATTAGAATATGATTCTACTTGAAAGAGACAGGCTTAGTTTGTTGATAATATGAAAGTTAGAAAGCAGTTCTTCCTGGAATGTTACCTTGCTTTAAACATGAGTTTAGTTCTCTCCAACCTCTGGAAGCTCTTTTTGTGGCATGTGGTATGTACTGCAGCTCTTTTGATGATGCTTCTTAGTTTTCCAGGGTCTTAATTTCACATAGTATCTTGTCAGTAAGCCTAAATCTAACTTGCAATTAAAAAACCCAACTCTGAAAGCTGTGTTTTTAATTACTTAAAGCAGGATAACAATAATTACTTTCTTGAGATCTGTTGTAATGATGTCTGGCACTTCTTAAAGAATTTTCGTTGATGCTAATGTTCTTGCCACCAAGTATTCAAACTTTATTCAACCCTGTCTGGAAATATGATTGGGATAGTAGTTATGGGTGACTAGAAGTTAGTTGCATATGAACCTATCAAATTTCAGAGATCACTATAATAGAATAACTAGGGTTTGTACCATGGTTTTACATGCAGCTTATGATGGCGTTGCAACTGAAAGTAGCTGTCCTTGACTGCTTACCCTGACCTGTGCCTTCTCTGCCTTTTGTCAGCACAAATTGTTATGTAGCTGTGCAGTGATCTGGACTGGGGGAAAAACAGATCTGGAGAAACGATCTAGGTCTTCTCCTCAAGTCTCCTTATTTAGAGTTGGATTTTAATCCATCTTTTTGATATGATTCACCACACATCTCCTCTAATGCTGGAGCTTGGTGGGAGGAGAAGACAAAAATTCACTGTCTGTGTTCTACCTCCAGTTTGTACCCCTGCAGAGTTTTCGGGTCTGCAGTATGAATCTCCATGGTTTCATCTGTTTGCTCAGTCTAATTTTAGAGGGCTCCCGTCATGTTTTGTAGCAATAGATAGAGGTCACATATTAAGGCTAATGTTGAAACAATACAGATTTTATTACAGGACCTGGTAAATATGAAGGACTAGCTTTGAGCCATTTTTCCTTGCTATACCTGGGGACTTACTTGGAGGAGTGTAGTTAGTGACTTAAATAACCTCCCTCTTTCCTTTTGTGTTTGGCCTTTATGTTGAAAAAAGTGAGAGAAAAAGTGGGCCACAGCACTGTGAAATGTCCCCTTTCAGGTGTAACCAAATGTTTGCCAGAATGTGTTCTGGAAGAAAATAACGTGGTTCAGAAAAAGGGTAATAAAAGAAAGGTTGGGATTTTTATATTAAGAAATTTCTCATGCAAGCACTCTCAAATGAGTAAGCTAGCTGCATAAACTTAATAGGTTCATAGTTTTTTAAGTCTTTGTTGCTTCTGGCTTCTAACTAGCACAGTTTCCACAATACCATTTCCCTTTTGAAAAAGATTTAACCTGTTTGTTTCCCTTTCAAATATTGTTCATACCAATGGTCTTTCTGCTTCCAGGTTTCACAATGGCATGATTCCTCTGAAGCTGATTGTGACAGCCACCAGGAGTTTTTGCTAAAGCTGCGTGTGCTTGCCTTCTCAGGAATTTGGATAGGTAAGTGTGCATGTTCCACTTTCTGTACTGTGTGCCAGTTACTCTTTGGAGTAGTGCCAGTTGCCACAAAATCAGTGTTGGCTTTGTGACTGCTGATGGCATGCAGTGTTTCATACAATACAGAAGGGGTGGTCTCCAGCAGGTAGGCTGGCTGCTGCCGTGTGCCAGACTGTATCCCAGTCTGGCGCTGAATGCATCCTCTATGTGCAAGAGGTTTTCTCAGGAGAGAGATGCAAGGGGTCTAGATGAATATTTCCTTCCCCCTTTCTACTAGGTATTTGTGGAAGTGTTTGTAAAAGCAGGTTGGACTCTCTTCAGGCTGTGACAGAATGCCTGTTTTGTCACATTTTCTAAAACACAGTAGTTCTTGTAGGTGGTTTCTTTTTATCTACTTGTGAAACCAAGTTCATGTTGTAAGGAAGGGATGGTTATTCTGAACGTGCTCAGTTCTTGAAAAGGACTATCTTTTAGTACATGACTATTCTTTCACAGAGAAATATATTTTTAGGGAGTTTGTGAAACTGTAAAAACGTTGCTGCAAGTGCAAGATGCTGCAGGTCCACCCATGCAGCCTTGCCCTGTGCTTCGTATCAAATGCAAGTCTTATGCAGATGTGTAACGACCTGGATCAAGAAGGCTGGAAAACTCCAGTGTGTGGCTTTGGGTAGAGGGAGGAGGGATGGGGGAGCGGTGGTGTTGGCCCTGCAAAGATGGGTATAGGTGGATTTGTTTTCAGGTGAGTGGGCTTCCTGAATTAACACCACATGTTGTGCAACCTGTAGTGCTGCCACCTGAAGGGAGGTGACCATAATACTTGCTGGGGACTGCAGGGAGAGGAGCATTGACATCTGAACTTGGATCAGTGTATGCTGATTTGCAGCCAGGCTCTAAAAACATGACCTTCTTCATTTAATAGATTTTAATGATCTATTTATTAACAGATGTTGAAAGCTATAGGTGCAGGATATGCAAAAGAACTCCAGGCTGGAAGTGACAAGCAAACATAGCTACTAAAGAAAAAAACCTTCCTTGTAACCTAAGTTCATCAGTGTGCCATATCTAAAGAAACTATTAGGTTTCTTATTTGAGAACCTGCCCTGTAGTTGTTGCAGTTGTTTAGGACAATCTTGTTGTATCGAATGTGTCAATTTAAGCCTGTTCTTATGAAATGCTGTCAGCAAAGCTGTGTTGTGCTCATAGGGGAGTGGTTAGCCCCTGAGGTCTGATATATTGTAACAACAAAACCTTTTCTTCAGAGGACACATATATATTGGAAACAAACCTTTTTTTATGGATCTGGAGAAGCCCTTGGAAAAGGCTGTTTTAGTTACTTTCCCCTTGAATCATCGTACCTCTTCACTTGGCACTTCAGTGTCAGTTTTTACATGCAGTCATTATTGTGGTTTTATTTGGTATGTAGTTCTCATAGTTACAGATAGAGGAGAAAATACTGTGTCCGTCTCTTTCCCAGCACACCATACAGAACTTATGTTTTGTTTTGCTTTTGAAGTTTGTGGTCCCATGGGGACATACTTTGATCCTAAACACTGTGTAGTGGGGCATGAACAGTGAAAAAGAGCTGTCTTGAGTGGTGAAGTAAAAGCAGTCTCTCAGCTGCTAATTTAACTTATTGGTGGAAAGTAAGGGAATACTCCCCCCCTCTCCACTCCCTCTGCTATATTTGGATGCTACAGTTTGGGTATTTTGATGTACATTTTCCATAAAGAATGTCTCAGTAATTAAACTAATTTTGCCATTGATGATGCCACCATGTTATACCACTGAAGTACTTAGTGAAGGTGGTAAGTTCCTTTTTATTACACGTGCAATTTTTGTTCATTAATGGAAATTGTTTCCCAGTGGACTATTTAAAATCTTTAAATTCTAGCTCATAATAAATCTATTTATACAAAGTTGTATTTAAAATTTGATTTGTTTCACTAGTAACTGTTCTGGTTGTTTATGAGCTTGTAAGCTAGAGGTCCTATAGACCTAGTCTTGTTTACTGAAACTCAACAGCAGATTTTACAGTTGGGAGTAAAACGTTTTAGTAAACCATATCCATGTCAACAGGTAGCCTTTTTAGAAACAATAACATGCTCCAATAAAGCTGACATTTGCTTATGTTTCAAATACCAAGTCTAATTTAAAAGATATTTATGTGGAAGGCCCAGCAGCATAAACTTTATTCTGGTTCCCCACATTCTTTTGGTAATATAGACAGAACGAAACTTATAAAATACAGCTTAACCTGAAATAGCTTATTTCTTCTTGACCTATGCTTAAAATAAAGAGGAGGACCAGGGGGAGGGAAGAGGAAGGGATGCTCACTGTGCCTAAGTGGCTGATGTTGACCTTAAGTTATTTTTTGTAGGTTAGTGTTTAAAGCTGCTGGTTTTATCTTAAGTATTCTTTTCCTGTTGACAAGTTGAAGCCTTATGGCTTCATTTATAGTGGTAATAAGGTCTGGTTGGGCTGGGAAAAGGTTTTGCCTCAATGATCATTGCTTGCGCTTTCAGGTGATCTGGTTGAGTACACAATGCTGTATGCTCTGTAATGGGAGATGGCAGCTGTATGGGTACCTGCCCTTTCTCTGCATGGCCAGGAGAGGTAGAGAGCTGTGTTCTTTTCTTATATTTGTAGGTTTAGTCTCGTCTCATTGTCCCCCCCCCCAAGTTGTCCCAAGGTTTAGTTGGTTTCTACAAAGGGTTTGTGTTACTAGGATTGTGTAGGTCTGTACTTCAAGCTGTTTCCCTGAGAAGTCTGAAGAAAATTAGGGAAAAAAAACCTGCAATTAGTGTTTAGTCTTGGGCTTCTTGTAAAGAAAGGATGCTGCTTGAGGAGTGCGTATTATGTATTTCATTTGTATGCATGTACCTGAGAGACAGAGGGGATTAAGGGTATTAGATGATCTTATTGATGTGTGAACATTCCCAGGTTAGTGACTGCCTTCTGTGATGTCTTTGTGGTATTTCAATGATAGCTACAATATTGTCATTAAATGGAAAAGAAATAAAAAGTGCTTAGTATATTTTAACCTTCCTTTATGCTTAAAGCAGTGTAGTAAATAGGCAAAAATTAGCATGTCATAGTTGGAGGTAATTTAATGTGGTGCAGTTCTAGAGAATTGCAGTTGGACCATTCAAAAAAACTTGGATAATGTTATTAATAACTAAAGATGTCCATTATAATAGGAAATGGGTCTTCAGGAGAAAAATCTCATCTTTAGTTCCTTGTCCATGAGACTTCTGAATATACAATTTTTTAAACCATATGTATATGAGTGAGTGAAAAGAGGAAAGCCTGGATTCCATTAATTCTTGGCTACCCATAAACTGACAAGGGTCTTATGCTATTTTCCTAGTCTACAATGACTGAAGATTTAGTGGTATGGATTGTAATGATCCATGCTCTTTGCTGTTATAGGCACCTGTTGACTACACAGGCCAAGAATGAGGGTACATAGACTGTGTCTGCACGCTTCCTGAGTTCAGAATGGTTAGGCACACCCAAGTTAGCTTTAATCTAGCTAGCCTGGATTAGAAAAGATTGCAAGGATTTAACAGCATGGATTTTAGCATAGCCTGCTGGAGACTGGTAGGGAGACTGGGTGCTTAATCACTGCAATCTTTTGCCCTGGAAATAGAGTGGATTTTGTAAAACTCAATATTATGAGTTCGGTAGCTTGCATAAATGTGGAGAGCTGCTGGTAGCTTAAATGTATATATTGTTGTGTGTACGAATTTTTCCTAGTTTTGTCTTTAAAATGTGGAATGTAGTATAACTTAGAACCAGTAAGTATGGACCTAGTGTTATGCATGATTATGAATGCGCACTGATTGATGAGGTGTTTTCTGTAGTTGATCCTGCTATATTAACACTTTTTGGGACTGGCTGGTGAAGAATGAGCAGCCCTGGTGTTTTGATTTTCTCCATGGCTCAGCATGTGTATTGCTAAAGCATAGCGTGCTGTTGTACTGCTTAAACTTCAATAGCAACAGAGTTTGGCAGTTAAAATGCGTTGCAGGTTAGTACCAAAAATTTGCAATTAAATCTGAGACACAGAACAGACGGAGAATCTGTGAATTGGAGCTAAAAGTAAGATCATGGACAGAAAAAAACCCAGCCAAACCCAACCAAAACTCCAAAAGAACAAAACCCCCCAAAACAGACTACATGCCTTGTCCAAGAAAACCCAAACAACAACCCTCCCAAAACCCCAAATCATAAGGGGACCACAGAGTAGCAAAAGTGGAATTAGAAACTGTGAACTTCATTCATGTGCTGTCATTGACTTAGTGCTATTTCTCTGCTTTGCTTTTTTACCTGCAGATGGAAAATGCTTGGTTCCTTTATGAAGTGTTTTGAGAACATATGCACCTGCTACTGCTACAACTGTATTGACCATTAGAATTCCTAAAATTATCTGCTTCAGATAGAACAAGGTGAAATACAGCGTTTATTTGAAAAGGATCCAGTTTCAATGAGAATACTTCTGGGAATTTGAAAATGAGCAATTCTTAAATGATTCAGTCTATCTGAAAGCAAAAGAAGCCTCATCTCTAACTTGAATTTCTTTAGGTATAATTTCTAGAAATTGGTGGTTCTTTTGTTTCTTTGCTTGATGAAAGGTCAAATTCCCTCCTTTTCTTGCTCTTTGTATTCTTTCAGTAGGGATATTAATTTCTTTCTTCTGGTTCTTCAGCATCCTTCTTGAGCTGTGAAATCAAGAACTAACTGCAGTTTTCTGTGCCAAACAAATATAACTGTTTTGCTCTTATTTGATACCTTGCTTGTTTAAATGTTAGTGGATTGTGTGAGATTAGGCACATCTGCGTGTTGTGAGTTCTCTGTTGCGTACACAGATTCAAGCAAGTGAACTTGAAAATTGGAGTGATGCACAGAGATGTCACCTGTGAAGATCAGAGTTCACGCTTTCCACCTGAGATCAGAGGAGATCAGCTTCCTTTTCGGTCTAATTGTACTCACTGCTTATGCATAATGGAAAACCACAACTTGACTCTGCTGTACTTGATGGAAGATAAGGATCAGTGTCTACTAGAGAATGTGATGCTAGCTTTACAGATCTTGTCAGCATGAGGCATCAGTCATGTCGTTTTATGTATGTAACATAACATAGAAGTATATGAATGTCATAATGTGAATGGTGCTGTGTAGCTTTCAAATTGTCACAGACTCATAGACTTATCAGGTTGGAAGGGACCTCAAGGATTGTCTGGTCCAGCCTTTCTGGGCAAAAGCATGGTTTAGACAAGATGTCCCAGCACCTTGTCCAGCTCAGTCTTAAAAGTGTCCAAAATTGGGGAATCTACCACTTCTCTGGGGAAATTATTCCAATGTCTGATTGTTCTCACTGAGAAAAATTTTCCTCTTGTGTCCAATTGAAATCTCCAGGAATAACTTGCACGCATCACCCTTGTCTTTTTCACATGACTCCTTGTAAAAAGGAAGTCTCAGTCTTCTTTGTAACAGTAGTATAATTAGTAAGTAGTGCTTCCTGGCAAAATGTATGAGGTTTTTAGCATGTTGGCCTCTTTAGTTTTTTGCCTTGCATATGCTGTTAGATGAATGTCATCAGTCACTAGTTCATTCCATGTATTCCATATATCAAGACTTGGTACTAATACACAGTTCTTCAGTACCTCAAAGCAATTCTATTTATTATATTGACTGTTGATACCACTGAGGTCTCATTTTTTATTTTTTAAGCAAAGGAAGTTTGTAATTTGCAGAAGTTTAAACAGTTTTCTAACTCGTCAGGTTAGTAAAAACTCAGCTTTGGCTTTATGTATGATTTTTACGGAAATAACCTGAGTGTCTTTATGTGTTTGAGCTGTAGTGTTTCCCATGCCTGTTTATCTCCAGT